GGCCAGGCAAGGTCAGCCGAGCTCTCTGCCCACCGCTCTGCAGCCCCCGCCCCCAGACAGACACACGGACACACGGACACACACAGACACACACACACACGCACACACAGACGCATGGACACACAGACACACACATACGGACACACAGACACACACACACAGACACACGGACAGACAGACACACACACACACACCCTGGCTGTAGCCACAGGGTCAGCACACCTGTATCATAGCTTTCCGGAAGTCGCCCACAGGCATCGTCATCATTCCTTTAGGGTTCAAGCTCCTGAAGAAGTCCACGACTGTGATTCTGTGCTGGTCGGCGTAGCTCTGAGAGAAGCAGAAGACACCAGGAGCACACACTTGACTTTATAACATCTATTAACCACTCTCCACCCCTCACCCCCCACCGCCACCTTCCACCCAAGGGCGGCCTGGCAAGTGCAGGGGAGCTGTAAGAAGCAGCCTGGGGGGCCCGAGTCTCCTGTGTGTTAGCAGTCGCCTAAGCCCAAGAGCCCTGCACGGAGCTGCATGCCGTGATGGCTCTGGGGTTTGCTCAGTGTCCGGGAGCCCCCACTCCACGGAGCAGGATCGCCATGCGGCTCCAAAGAAGGAAGGATTAGAGTCTCTGTTGTTTGTTCTGTCCGTCTTTCTATCTATCATCTATCATCTATCTATCTATCTATCTATCTATCTATCTATCTATCATCTATCTTTCATCTATCATCTATTACCTATCTTTCCATCCATCCATCATCTTTCTATCGTACATACTCTTTTATAAAATGCACTGTACTAATACATTGTGAACACCTTTTCAGTATCATTAAAACATTCCTTTGGGGTCCTTTCTAAGTATCTTTATGTTTCTCTTCCCCTCCCACTCTCAAAAGGCCCTCAAGGCCCAGCCAGATTGATAGATATTCCTGCAGATAACCGTGCTCACTGAGGAACTCCTCAGGGACCAGTCCTCCGTCCCCTGCTCTTCTTTCCCCACACTTTGCCCTCTGGGGTGCACTGCCTCTCCCCCCAGGGGGACCCTACTTCTGCATCCTCAACAGCTGCTCACAAGTCCGTGCTGACACCCACTGGCACCTCAATCCAACACGTCCCAGGTGACGCTCCGGCAGCTCGACCCTGTCGGCGGTTGTAAGCACTGTGGCGGACCCCACGGGTGAGCCGACACGCCTCCCCTCCCTCCACAGCACGCCCCTGTACAGTGCAGATGCTGCAGAGCCAAATGTCGACATTCCCCAAACCCCCTTTCAGCTAGGCGTCGGAGTGGGATGCGTTTCACCAAGCACCCAGGGGAGGCTTGTGTGGGAGGTCTGATTTGGAGGGAGCAGGCCGGATGCAGCTGGGGGCCGGTCCTGATTCAGTGGGTGATCCCCACTGGGCAGCCTCCTGATCATAGCAGAAGCAGCCATCACCCTGGCAGCCCACATGGGGGATTTGGGGAGCCATTTCTGGAACCTAAACCAAGAATCTGTTTCTTCAGCCCCCTTTAATGTTTCTGGGGTCTGTCTCTGGTCATATATCCCTCTTTGTTTAACCCAGCGGGAGTGGATTGTGTGCTCAGCAACAACAACTTTGACCAGCGCAAGAAGGGCTTGTTGCTTCGGTAGGTGCTAGTGATAAGACCCATCATTGCTCCTGCCCTGGAGGAGTTCAGAGACGGCCTAGCTACTCCTGACTAGGGAGTCTGGAAGGGTTGCCCAAGGACATGAACTTGAGTAGAGACCTAGAGGAAGAGTAGGAATGAGTGAGACACAGAAGGCAGGAGGAAGGGTGTTCCAGGCAGAGGAATGTGCGTGTGCACAGTCCTGGGGTTGAGCGAGAACTGGTGTAGAGAAACAGGGAGAAATCCAGGGGGGCTCAAATGTTGGAGAACCAGCTGGGAGGGGTGGACAGAGAGGGTGGGGCTAGAGAGGACTTCCCTACCCCTGCCAATGTCATCACCTTTATTTTAGTCCCTTGGGCTTGAACTTTTGGGATTATCTTTGGTTCTCTCCTATCATCACAGGCCTTCCTTCTCCCAGCACACACACACACACACACACACACACACACACACACTTGCACCCTCCCACACATGCACCATGTACCCAACCATTCACCAAATCCTGGAGGTGCTCCATAATGGTATCTCCTACATCTGTCTCTCCACTTCCATTCCCACTCTCAGGCAAGGCACCATTCTAGAATACTAGTTATCATACCTAGAATACTACCATAGTGTCCTCGTTGGCGTTTCCACTCTCATCTTTACCCCCTTCAGTTCATTTCCTCTCCATTGCCTGAAAAATTATTCCTCAGTCCTGCTGGATTCACATTACCCACTTCTCAGCCACTATCGCTGGCTCCCTGCTCCCTGTGGAATCCAACCCCAACACTGAGCCATATCCAGCCCCAGCCTCCCTGTGCAGCCTTGACTTCCAGGCTTTGCAGGAACCTGGAACCGTGTGGTTCTTCTGCTGGAACCACGTGGTCCTGCCCATCCCCCAAGCACACTGTGTGTACCACCCCCCCTGCTCCTTTGCTGGTGGGAATCCTATCCCCAGAGCTCCCTCCCTGTTGCTGTCACTCACCTGAATCCTTTCTGCTCTTCAAGGCCCTTCCCCAGGACGTGTCCTTTTTTCTTTGCCTAATCCCACAGTGACCTCTACTCTGGACTTTGATGATATTTGCTGCGTTTGTCACTCAGTTATTATTTATCATATATCTTTGAGAAGTTACTGCATCTGTCCCATCTTCCCAACCAGATTGTTGGCCCCCCTGAGGGGAAGGACTGTGTTTTGCATTGCACATCTGGTTTGGTCTCTAATCTGAGATTTTTTGAGATTCTTAGAGATTTCTATGCTGTTTTAAACACGGGGTGGGACCCCCACTTTGCATCTGAGAACTCCATTCCTGTTCCCTGGAGCATCCCGCTCCCCTTGCAAAACAGGTTTCTTCTGGGTTCCATCTGATGTCATCTGACTCGTGAAGATACTTGATAACCCCCTTGCCTTCTAGAACTTTCCACACAACAATAATATTCATGCAGAGCTCTTCTATTTAGTCCTGGAAGCTAAGGCACAGAGCAGACCAACCAAGGAGCAGGAAGCAGCCCCAGCAGTACACACCCTGTAGAACCCACATCTGCATGGTATCACCACAGAAGGCACCCAGTGTGCATCCAGCAGAGGCTGGTCAACCCTGCCACCGGTGAGAGCCAGGAATAGGAACACCAGCCTGGCCTGGGCACTACTCTGTGAGGTGATCAGACCAGATGAGCGCCCTTGCAGCTCTAAAACTGTCTGATTTTTCATTTCCATGGTTACATCTGCCTCCTGTGATCTGAGACTTGAGCTGGGAGCAGGTGACCACAAGACAGAAAGGACTTGAGGGTCTCTCTTTAGCTGAAGCCACCAAATAACTGTCCTCACCACAGGGGTGTCTTGGCATCCTTACCAGCTACTGGCAAGAGCTTGCATTTGTTGGGTGCTTATTATTGGCCAGGCATTTGTGTGTAACAGAATTGGATCTCCACAGCAGCCCTCCCGGGGTGAGTCCTGTTGTTCTACCCATTTTCCAAGTGAAGAGACTGGGGCCCTGAGAGCACAGTGACTTGCCTTTGGTCGTACATTAGCAAGCAGAGGAGCCTGGCTGGTAGAAACCATCCTGTTCCAAACCCCGCCCACTTCAGCCCTTTCCCAGATCGCCCCTTCCTCTGGGAGCTGGGAAGCACTGCTGAGGGGATCCAACATCCACAAGGAATATTCCACGTCCGAGAGACATTCCTTGTCGGAGAGGATTGTGCAGACGCTTTGGGGGAGGGGGGACTCTTGGTCTTTGGGGTCTCCAAGAGGAAGGCAAGGGCTCACCTGGATCAATTTCATGGGGTTCGTCCACTGGAGGAGTGCTTTCTTGGCAGAGAAGCCTTGCACTGACTTGTAGATCACATCCAGCTGGGGGTGGATGGCACACACCCCATCCAATATTTTTAGGAACTGCTCAGACACCAGCACATTCTGAGGTGGGGAGAGAAGGGACCCATCATGAGGAAGGCATCGCCGCCGTTGTACCATCTCCACCCCCCTACTCCCTCCCGCACCTCCCCCTGCAGACCAGCAGGCCCATCCAAGCCAAAGGCAGAGCTTTTTTTTTTTTTGTCTTTTCCAGCTTGTTCTGCAGTGCTGCTCCTAGACTGGGGTAGTTGACCTTTCTTAGAGCTTGCAATTTGACTTGTAAGGTTTGCACGTGATTTCGATCAGATGTTCTAGCTGAGGGCTGGTAGCCTGTCACATACTATCAGTTCAGCTCTCAGATGGTGAGCATCAGTTTCTGTGTGTGACAGATGAGACACAGCTATGGTGTTAGGAGACTGGTCTCCAGGCAAATGCCCTGAAATGTCCATTTCTACACCATATTGGTCTTTAGAGCAGGTGCCCTGGAAGAGGATTCCTCATCCCAACCACCCTTTCCTGGTTCAAAACCCACTGGAAATGCGCCTTTTGGAGGTGCCCTCAGAGCTGGGTTATAGGCCACAGGAGAAGACGTGTTCTGTGAAGCAGTGTTTGACCAAAGCTGGCCTTCCCTGGTTCGGTCAGCCTGCTTCATTCCTCAGATGTGGTTGTGAGGAATTATTTGCCACTTCAAATAATTAAACCCATGCTTAAGGGCTGCAGGCTTACCTCATCCCGATTTGTAGATATTCTAGAGAAAGTTCTAGAGAAAGTTCATCTACAATGAAGGGATTCCAACACTGTTTAGAGTTACATCAGGAGAGATGACGAAAGGGAAGGAAAAGTCTAATTCAGACCTGTCTGTGCTGGTAGGCTTCTAAGGTGGCAGTGTGATCCCAGCTCATGGGGTCGTGCACACCTGGGGTTAGCCGAACAGCACCACTTCTAATGTTCCCTCAGACACCAAGACAGTGCCTGAGGGCATGCCTCCCAACCTGCCCTGGGTGGGGGGAGAGCAAATGCCAACAAAATCTGGACGTGTAACTGAGCCCCAGAGGCGGGGTGGGGTGGGGGTTAAGGCAGCATGAGGGGTGCGAGGCCAGAGCTGTAGGATGAGGGCGGACAGAAGGCCCCTGAGGAGAAAGACCATGAGCAAAAAGAGGAGCCTGGGGGCAGGGAGCAAGGGGAAGAGAACAAAATGAAAAGAAAAGCAAGTATGTTTTTCTAATGTTTTATAATCTGTGGCAAACCTAAGTCCAAATTTTACTTATTATTTAGTTCCAAGGAGTTTGGGCTTAAATATTCAAAATACCATCACTGAGGGCGCCTGGGTGGCTCAGTCGGTTAAGCGACTGCCTTCGGCTCAGGTCATGATCCTGGAGTCCTGGGATCAAGTCCCGCATCGGGCTCCCTGCTCGGCGGGGAGCCTGCTTCTCCCTCTGACCCTCCCCCTGCTCGTGCTCTCTCTTTCTATCTCATTCTCTCTCTCAAATAAATAAATAAAAAATTTTTTAAAAAAAAAAACCAAAAAAACCCAAAATACCATCATTGATATTATTGCAAGGCTTTAAGATCTTAGCAAAATATCATATTTGTGTGGCATTAAAATAATGTAACATGACTTTAACACTGTCCCTTTATAGAACTCTAGAGTAAGAGGCAGAAACCCTGGGTTTACCCTTTGTCGTGTTTCTCGCTTGCCTATGTGGTCCTGGGCAAGTTATCTAACCTCTCTGGTTCAGTTTCCTTATATATAAAAGGGGAAAATGAGGAAAAGTTCTTGTTATGGGTTGAACTGTGTTCCCACCAAAAAGATATTGAAGTTCTAATCCCCCGTACCTGCGAAGGTGACCTTATTTGGAAATAGGGTCTTTTTAGATGATTGAGTTAAGATGAGGTCATTGGGGTGGGCCCTAATCCGCTATGACTGGTGTCCTTCTAAAAAGGGGCATTTGGATACAGAGACAGATATGCACACAAGGAGAACGCCATCTGAAGCTGAAGGCAGAACTCAGGGTGATGCTCCTACAAGCCAAGGAACATCTAAGATTGCCAACAAATGACCAGAAGCTGGGAGAAGCATCGAACCCATTCTTCCTTGCAGTCCTCCAAAGGAAACAATCCTGCCAACACCTTGATCTTGGGCTTTAGTTTACAGAACTGTGAGATAATATACTTCTATTGTTTGAGCCCCCCACCCCCACCCCGGAGTGTGGTACTTTGTTCACGATAGCTCTGGGGCATGAGTCCATTCTACCTACCTCCCAGAGTGGGGCCAGATGAGCGGAGCAGAGATCACTTTGGGGGGAAAACCAGTATAAAGTGGTGGGCCAGCTACCACCTGTCTGATGATCCAGGCAAGAACACCTGGCCCAGTGAAGTCCCCTCCTTGGGCCTTCCTCCTCCATTAGGGCGTTTACCCTTACATTCTACTCTCAGGAGGCCATGTCATGGAATACAAAATTTGTACGTGTGTTAATATGCAGATTCTAAAAGTTCTGTGATTCTGGAACCGTTCTGGGACCCAGGGCTGTCCATGAGCAGGGCTGGCAGTGAACAAATGCTGCTCGGGGGATCCCACCTCTGTCTCTGCTGTTTCTGCTCCCAGACCCACTCGGGCTCTGGTCTGGGATTTCACACCATAAAGTTATCGACGGAAGGGCTACTCCTGCGAAACGGACCCCAAGAGAGGGCCAAGTTGTACTCCAAAAGGAGTGACCCTATCGTGGAGCATTGGTGTAAGGGACAGAGCTGTTGGTGCCTGCCCACCCAGCGTGGCTGTGGTAACTGCCCACATGGCGTGCGTGGCCGTGGTAACTGGTGTGGGCCCTGGTGCGAGCAACCACCGTCTGATCACTCACGGAAATGTCGATCTCTTCCATCTTGGATTTGGGGTTCCTCTTGATGGACAGGATAAGTAAAACAGCCCCATCCATACTCATAGGGTTCAGGAAAAGCTGTGGGAGGAGGGGCAAGACCGGAGGAGGATGAGATGGGGACAGGAGAGCCTGGCTCAGAGCATGGCTTCCATTTCTTCCCATCAAATCATCATCTCTATCTTCCACCCAGATTTCTCTGTAAGCACCTGTCTCCCTGTTTGTCCATCATCCATCTGCTTGTCCATCACTGCTCATCCATCCATCCATCCATCCGTTCAGCAAACCTACCATGTGCCGGTTATTGGGAAACGTGCTAAGGGTTGCGCAGGCAGACAGGACAAGGTCTCTGCCCTCACGTAGCTTACACTCCAGAGGGGGCCACAGGCAAAGGAGTAAACGGCATCAGAAGTGCGGTGAGGGCAGTGACAGAGGCACATGCTGGTACTGCAGGAGCCAGGAAAAGGACATCCAGCACGGTGGAGGGGACACTTGAGCTAAGCCTTGCAGAACTAATGGGGATTCTTCTGGTCTGGAAGAAGCAGGGGGCAGGACCAGAGGAGACAGTGAGATGCACCAAAGTAGACAAGGGCAGGCAAGTGCAAAGGTGCAGAGGTGTTTGGGCAATAGCAAACATTTCGTGAACAGGAGCAGAAAGAACAAGGCCATAGAGCTGGGATGGGCCAGATCACAGGGACCATGCAGGCCTAGCTGCGTACCCAGGGTAGTATCCTAATGTAGCTGAGAGCCACTGAAGCTTGGGGTAGAGGTTAACAGCAAAGAACATGGAGCCCAGTGGCTCTGCTTACTAGTTTTCTGGCCTTGGGTCAATTCCCTGACCACTGGGGACCTATCGCTTAGGGCCACTCTGAGGATCCAATAAATTAATTCAAGCAAAACATTCAAAGGAGTGCTTGGTACATAGTAAGCAGCAAATGAATGCTAGTTATTATTAGCGAAGGCTTTCCGCCAGGTGGTGTCTTGATGAGGCAGCCAGAACTTTCACTGAGCACCTACTGTGTGTCAGGTGTTTCCTGGGCTCTGACAGACTCAAGAGAGAAAACACAGACTTCATAGGGCTTAGCTTCTAAGAAGCCTTTGATGGACACACTTCCCTGGGGGGATCCTTATTTTTTCCAAGAGTAGGGGAAGGAGGGCTGTGCTCCACGTGGAGAACAAGAGATCATTCCAGTGGCAAAACCGATGCAGCTTCCACCTACGACCAAACTGAGAGGTATGTTTTAAGTTGCGTTTAAAACTTTTTTCTTTCATTTTAAAACATTAAAAATTTTTTAAATATATTTAAACACATGACAATGGGTTTAATTAAACATTTAAGCAATGACACATGGTCATTATACAAGAAATTCAAAAAGAGGTAGAAAAAGTGTGAAAATCACCAGTACCCCCATCAGTTAGAGAAAACCCCCGTTGCCATGTTGTTGAGGCAGCGTTTCAATCTTTTACGATTCAGGTGCTCGGAACTTTCCTTGGCTTCATGGTTCCACGGAGGCTGAGTCACAGGCAGGCTGCATCAGTCAGTCTCTCTGAGTTATTCTTCGTCCCACTCTGGCCAGACCTCGCTCCCAGCTCTCGCGGTCACTAGCCAGCAGGTCGCCCTGCTCCCTCCACTGCCGGGAAGCTGGCTTCTTCTCTGCAGCTCTAAGGTGCTTGTCCTCTCAGACGGCAGCTCGTTGTCACTGATTTCTAACTCCCATCCTTCTCCACCAGCACCCCCACATCTGTGGCCTCCCCCTGAATCACCCCCACATCTTGAGGAATTTGGAGTTGCAGTAGGAAGCCAAGGAGGGCTGACTTCTTTGCCTCTGGAGCTGCAGGGCCTGAGCTGGTCATGTAGGCTCGGCTTTCTCATCTGACAGGTGGAGCGAGGGAAGCCCGAGCTGGAGGGCTGTGCCGTGAGCAAGAAGCAAGCCACCTGATATGCACCTGTCTCACTGTGGGAGCCCCAGGAAGGGAAACTGGTAATGGGAGGTCTCCTCTTTCATCTGTTTTCCAACTGCCCAAGAGCTTCTATGTGAGACATCTATAAGCCAATCTATTTATTTATTTTTGAAGATTTTATGTATTTATTTGACAGAGAGAGAGAGAGAGCACACAAGCAGGGGAAGCGGCAGGGAGAGGGAGAAACAGGCTCCCTGCAGGGCAGGGGGCCCAATGCGGGGCTCGATCCCAGGACCCTGAGATCATGACCTGAGCCAAAGGCAGACGCTTAACCCACTGAGCTACCCAGGTGCCCCTATCAATCAATTTAAAATGAAAGATGTATTCATTCATTAATGGACATTCATTGGGCATCTACTATATGCCAATAGGTACAAGGGGTATAATAATGGGCAGAAGCAAACACAGTCTTTACTCTCATGCAGCTCACACCAGTGGGGGTGACCAGACAGTCAGCGAAGTCACTGAAGTCAGAGTCTAAGAAGGAACCTGGCAAGTTCTGCGTGAAGGGGTGAGCTGAGATCTGAGAGTCCGTGAGGACAGCTGCTGGAGTGCCGTGCTGAGCTGGGGCAGGGACTCAGGTAGGTGCAGGGAGGAGTGGGGGAGAGCACTACAGGGGAGGCTGAGTCCGAAGCCACAGGGAGAGTCGGGCCCTGGGATGGGGGAGATGAAAGAAGCCCCCGAGGCCATGGCTGGACAGCGAGGGAGAGTGTGGGGTAAACTGAGGCTGGAGAAGCACACCGGGATGAGAGAACTGGGTTTGAACCACAGGAAGCCATGTGGGGGTCTAAGCCGGAGGAGACTAGATGGGGGTGGGGGTGAAAGTCAGACTTATGCTCAAAACACACACTCTGGCTTCAGTGCAGAGCAGAGTCTGGAGGAGACCCAGGCGGGAGGAAGGAAGACCGGTTAGAAGATGACACCAGGCACCCAGTGACCGTAGAGGGTGACACTAAGGTTAGAGCAGAGAGATAGTCAAGAACCTATGCACATGTGACACACAAGGTGAATTTTCCCAACAATTCTCTCCAGCAATTTGCAGCCCCATCACCCTGCTGCCCCCACCCCAACACACACAAATACACACACACACACACACACGGATGCACGGACACACACAGACACAGGGACACACCCACTGATGCACACACACACAGATGCACACACATGGACACAAACACAAGGATGCATAGACACACACGTGGATGCACACACACAGATGAACACACATGGACACGTGGATGCACACACACAGATGAACACACATGGACACACACAGAGATACATACACGGATGCAGGCACACGGATTCATGCACACACACATGAGTGCACACATGCACACGGACACACACATAAAACGGCCCATTCCCAGCTTAAGTAAAGACTTTACCTTCAGAACTTTGAGGCTCTCATTGACCTCCAGCCCTTTGCTGATTTTGGAGACTCCGTCGTTGCTGATGCCATTGCTGCTGATGTCTAGGTAGACCAGGGAGTTGTTGAGTCTGAGGACCTCCCCTAGGGCCGTAGCCCCCTCGTTCCCAAAGCCGTTCATAGAGAGATCCAGTTTCTGCAGGGTCATATTAGCCTCCAGGGAGGGGAGAGAACAGCACTAGCATCAAGGCTGCGTGACTCTTCCAGCCACCAGGCCCTGGTTTCTCTCCCCTGCTGCCATCCAGCTGGGTGCTCAGTGGTCTCCCAGAGGGAGAGCTCCACCAGACCTTTCCAGATCCCTCCCAGTGGAGGGAGTCAGAACCTGGTCATTCCCTACCCCCTAAGGAAATTGCCCTCTTGAAGTATCCCCAAAGATGCCACCGAGGCCCCAGCAAGGTGAATTTGCTGAAGTAGGATTTATACTAAAGAATAAAGCACATGCAGAAATTATGGGAGGGATGCTAACAACTGGAAAGCATTTGATGAGAGCTCCATGTGCGCTCATCCATGGGGTCATGAGGAAGAGGTTCAAGATGGCAGGATGGGAGGCCCTGGACGTCCTCACTGGACTCCACACACCACTGCCAGAGACTACCTTACCCAGAGACCATTGCACAAGGCCACAGCTCCCCGTATGCAGAAGTGATTCCAGCTCAGATCCAGTGACTGGAGCCCTATATTGAGGGCTGGGGGAGGGAGGGAGTCATCTCAGTGTTCCCAAATCCCAGAGAACCCATTCTCAGAGTTGACAGATGTCCATGGCACTGGGGAATAAGGACTACTCAATGTTCATGCGAAGTAAGACACTGGGACAATAATTTTTCAGTTATTCATTTAAACACAAAATTTTAAGAGGATTCCCCGTGCTGGCAACAATGTAGTAAAACAATCCTACTCCTGTATTGCAGGGGGCAAGCAAATTGCTACAGTCTATTTGGCAAATGTGATCTGGTCACAGATATTTTGCTATCACACAAGCAACATCACCTCTGAGACGCTTCCTAAGGAGACAGTGCAGGACATGAGAAGAGTTCCATGCTTGAGGTGTTTATCATGGCCTTACTTATAAAAGTAACATTCGTGACTCACAGGGGAAGGGTAAAGTATATAATAAACATCCATCTGGCAGAATATGATACAACCAATAAACTAATAGAGATAGCGGGGAACACAGGGGTTGTATTTACATGGGGAGGCTGTGAAGGGGTATTACATCATGTGATGTGTTTTTCTTGGAGAACTATGGGAGCAGAGGTGGCTCCGAAATCTTTAGGGACATCATCAGTTCTAAGTGGTGAGGCATCAGGCTTATCTAGAAGCTGGTTTGCATAGAAGTTGTATTTTTTTTAACTTAAAAATATTTTGGGGGCCCCTGGGTGGCGTAGTCCCTTAAGTGTCTGACTCTTGGTTTCAGCTCAGGTCGTGATCTCAGGGTGTGAGTTTGAGCCCTGGTTTGGGCTCTGTGCTCAGCAGAGAGTCTGCTTAGGACTCTCGCCCTCTCCCTCTGCCCTTCCCCCCGCTCTTTCTCGCTCTAAAATATATAAATAAATAAATATTAAAAAAATATTTTTGCTTACGTGCTGCATAGGGTTGGGGAAAACATCCTGTTGAAACACATTATCATGCTTATTTTTACGGAGGGAGGGCAGATATGCTGAGGACACTGTTGGGAAGAGGCTGAAGAACTCTTGAAACTTTACTGGGCGGGAGGCAGTGCCTTCAGCCCTCAGACCCAGGAAAATGTTTTACTCGATTTTCTTTTCAGTGCACTGTGTCCTGATTGTGTGTCTCTTGAGTCAACTACCAGGATGTACTTTCACTAAAGTGCACAACACCTTATATTGTTTTGAGAACAAACTTTCCCCCGCCTTCATTCTCTTCTTACCCCTACTCCCTCTTCTCTGCCAATTCCCTTACTTAATATGCCACGCACACCTGCATCTCTTCAAGGGCTGCAAAATTTAAATGTAAGTTCTGTTCTCGCCCCTGACTAGCTGTGTGACCTTGAGCAAGCTACTTATTCTTCCCTTACTTCTGTTTTCTTATCTGTAAAAATGGAGATATTAGGGTGCCTGGGTGGCTCAGTTGTTAAGCGCCTGCCTTCAGCTCAGGTCATGGTCCCAGGGTCCTGGGATCGAATCCCACATCGGGCTCCCAGCTCAGCAGGAAGCCTGCTTCTCCTTCTCCCACTCCCCCTGCTTGTGTCCCCTCTCTCGCTGTGTCTCTCTCTGTCGAATAAATGAATAAAATCTTTAAAAAAACAAAAAAAAACCCCAAAAAACAAAAAACAAACAAACAAAAAAAAATGGAGATATTAACCCATACAAGATTTTGGGAGGAAACTGATGTGAAATGTCTAGCATGATGCCTATCACGTGGCAACCATTTAATAACTGGCAGCTTTAATAATAATAAATATTTTTAGGGCGCCTGGGTGGCTCAGTTGGTTAAGCGACTGC